ATAATAAAAAAATAATTATCTCTTATTTTTTATTTTATTTTATCATCATATCATGTAATTTAAATTCAGTATCTTTAATTTTCAATAAAAATTAATAATCATTAAATTATTTATGTCGTTAATTGTATTATTACATAATACTTTAACAAAATTAAGTTATTCTTTTATATTTTTTTCTTAATTTTTTAGTAAGTAAAATTATTAAAAATATTTAAATATTAACTAAAATTAATTATTTATAATAATTTGTTTTTATAGAAGATACCAAAAGAAAAAGTACTGTAGAACAATTCCAAACGAAATCATGATATTTCAGGTCTCAGGCGTGTCGGCTAAATGTTGACGCTACACGTGGCGTGATATCGAACAAAGTCCGGGAGAAGGACAGCGAATCGGATAAGGATACGTTTAAGTCTCGTTAAGATGGCACCTGCAGGATTGGCCACCTTGATTGAGATGTATTGAAATTTTGATATTTATCAAAATTTTATTTGTTATAATAACAATCAAATTATTTTTATTCTCCCATGTAAAAAAAAAAAAAAAATCTCACTAAGATGAAATGCAAAATGGTATCCACAAAAAATAAAAAGAAAAAAAGAAAAAAAAAATCATCGTTAGGCCCTCAAACTTGTCTCCGATTTTTAATTAAATTCTTAAATTTTTATTAAAGTAAATAAGTTTTGAACTTGGTGATTTGAACAATTTGATCTCTTTTTTTTATAATAAACTTAACTCTAATTTGTGTATTATTTATATAGATAAAGTATTGGTATATCATTATTTATATAATAAGTAGCAAGTATTCAAGGGCAAAGTAGTGTAGGATAGAGGGGGTAGTTGCCCCCCTAAGCTTTTGAAAAATGTTAAACATGGTATATTTATTTTTACTTTTTTTATAAAGTTTTATATTTGAAGTTAATTTGAATTATAGAGATCATTCATATATAAAAGAATATTTAAGACCAAGGTAAAAAAATTATTTTTCTCTTTGTGATTAATTTTTATAAAGACATGATAATTTTATTTAGGTAAGAGCAAATATAAAAAATAGTTAAAATAAATTTATATAAATTTTTACATTAGTTATATATGTTTTTTTTTTTTTTTGGTTTGATTTCTATTTTCTATTAAAGCAAAGTTGAATTGATATATATAATCTTACCCCATAAAACATATTCTTATACTATTTATTTAATGGTCCTAAATTCTATGTTATTTAAAAATAGTTAAATATATCTAGTTATTGTGGAAGATATAAGTGGTACATGCTTTAAAATAGTAATTGATTTAAAAACCAATATAAATTATACTAATATAAACAATTAAGGTTTTGTTTATAAGTGTTGTACTATAGGTATAAGTTTTTGTCTTTTAATATCCTAGAAATATATAAAGTAATCAAAATTAGTAAAAGTATATAAAATATTAACTTTTTGGTCAAATATAAAATATTAATTACTTATAACAGATTTACATTTTTATAAAAGTAGTTGTGAAAAAGTTTATACAAAATATGGTCAAATGAAACTTAAATGACTCACAAAAAATTTTAGAATTTTGGCACCCTAACTTAAATTTTTGGCACCATCCCTATAGGTATTAATCTTATCTATGCAAGTAGAGTACAATGGGTGTTAAATCTACCATAAAAAGAAAAAAGGTTAAATTGCTTAAATCAACAAATTTCAAAACTTATCCACTTCAATAAAAGTTTAAAAAATTTGATAAAAAATTTAGGTTAAGTCCAGGGTTAAACATTGAGTTTTGCCCTAAAAAAACCGGGTGTTTAGCTGTTTATGGTTCCGACTTCTATTGTTATTGATGGCCCATCAATTTTGTTATGAAAAAAAAAAAACAGTTTTTTTATATCCAGGCCCAATACAATTGAGACCCGTTTGGCCCATTTAAAGGAAAAAACCCACACATGAGCTAAACTACAAATATGAATTTTTTTGGGCCCAATCACTACAAACATTGATTCACCCATATATAAATTGCTATTCATGAACAATAATAGCACATCCTGGGAATTCTCAAGTTATAATCTTGTGCTAATTTTTATAGATCAAAGGCATATTTATTCATGAGAGCTGTTCACGTTTTCAAAATGACTTTATTTAATGATTTGCAGAGCAATATGGAGGGATTAGTGCATTAGTGCACAAGTGACAAGGCATGAATAACAAAACCTCACCCCAATCTTACATACCATAACATTCAGAATCTCACACTTAAAATATTTAACTTTACTAAAAGAGGAGATTTCTAAAAGGCACTCAACATAGTTGGCAATTTCAGCAGCTTACTAATAACACAAAATCGGAAAAAGGGTTGGGCTGGGGTTCAAACACAAGACCACCCTGCCCAATGTCGTCTGCACAACTAAAGCATGTAGCAACTATGAATTAGATTAATCATTTTTTTAAAGTACTTCTTAATTGTAAATTGTTTGTTACCTCCCTTAAACATGGCAAGAGAGCAAGATGCTGCTTCCGAATTAAGTGAGTTGGTTTGTCTTCTTCGTTACTAATTGAAAATTATCTCAATTTTAAAGTTTGTAGCAACTGTATTTCATACAAAAACGATAGGATGCCTAACATACTTTTTATGCTTAATTGATTCCATAATCAATTTTTGTACAGACTTAATAATTTATCTCACCTTATTTGGATAAATGTAGACACCGATTGTTTTGGTATGTCAACACATCCAATATCTGTATTTAACCTAACACCAATGTTGAATTTTCAAGTTTGCAAATCAAATATCTGGACACTTCATCCTTGGGATGCAAGTTCCTTTTTTACACTACAAGAATAATCTTTTTAGATTTACTTGACCCTTTTTTTGTACCTTTACTATGTCTTCCACAACAGGCGGTAAAGACTCAATACTGACCTACAGGGTACATAAAGAATCTTGGGAAGGATTGATGAGGAGGGGAATGAAGAGGGACTTTACATGGGAAAGTGCTGCCAAACAATACGAGGAAGTTTTCGAATGGGCCTTCATCGATCCCCATACCGTTAGCTAAAACCGAGGTTGAGATTCTGAAGGACAAAATGGAGTAAAGGAAGATCTTCTCACGATGGAATGATAATGTTTGATATCAATGACACGTTTGATAAGAAAAAATGGTTTTCAGTTGTTTCCATGCAGACATGAGAAACAGTAAAAAAAGGCTAAATTAGACTAGGGGATTCCACAGGCAATAAAAATGCAGTTGAGGTCATTTGAGCAAGAATAATTACAGTTTTGGCGTTCTCAGGAGCTTCTTTGGGCTCCTGGACATTTTAGTGAGCTTTGGTTTCTTCTCCGGCTTCGTTCTGGCCAGTTTTAACTTTCTTCATTATTTCTACTTGATCTCTTCTCCCATCACTACTCCTTGTTCTTTCCTCTTGCTGTCACCTTTTCCTTTTCCCTTTTCCTTTTCATTTTTCCATCGCTCTGTCCTTTCTTTTTGCTTTTCCTTTTCTGTTTTGCCACTCTTAGATTAGAATTAGGGAGATGAGAAAGATAAAAAAAAAGAAAAAAGAGTAATATTTTTTTGGGTTTCATGTAGTCTTAGATGGTGATAGCCATGACATTGACAGAAGTATCTATCTCAATTTTGATGTATTCCATATCTTTTACTATTATATATTTATTATAAAAGAATAATTGATATATCAGCTGATTTAATATACTTTACGATATTTATTGTGTTTAGTTATTAAAATTTTTAACTTTTTGTTTTCTATCTTTAATTTAAATTTTAAAATAATAATTTTTTAATAATTTTTTATATAATATGTTAAATCAAATAATGTATCAATAATCATCTTTTAATGCATGCCTTTACCTCTTTTTTTTGTATATTTTGTCTTAATTACGCTATAATATGTGTTATTTATGATTGTAAGTATTTATTTTTGTAATAAAGCTTTCTATATATGTGTAGGTTGATAATTTATATTTGTAAATAGAGATATATGGATAGAAATAACTCTATTGGTACTACCAATTTCCCGATAATGATTAATTAGATGGCCATTAGGGATCCTTCTTTTAAGCTCCTGCATGGAAGAAATAACTCAATAAGTAAAACCAACTAATGATTAAAATGGACATTGGGAATCCTTCTTTTTAAGCTTCTGCATAAAAGAAATAACTCAATAAGTACTACCAACTTCCCAACAATGATTAAGATAGACACTGGGGGTCCTTCTCTTTACACTTTGCTTGTAACTTTGTCTGGCATTGCAAAATGTAAAGGTTTTGAGTCTTAGTAAATCTGAAAGGATGTTCATCTCATTAGTTTGGCATTGCAACATATTTTGAAGTCTTAGTAATGTGAAGAGATGTTGTGCAAAGGTTGCAGTCTTAGGTTCCGTTTGGGAGTGCTGCACATAACATTTTTTTTCAGAACATAATATCTAAAAATGTAAAATTATCATTAATAATTAATTTTAATTATTTTTT